TAACATTCTGTGATTCTGTGATGACAACATATCTGGGAAATTTTAATTGTTAGGTAAAGAGTATAGTGTAGGTGTGAATTTTAGAACAAACAGCAGTTTCATCCTGGTCTGGAGGCTTTTTACTGTCCTTTATAGATCAGAAATCTAACGTCAGCACCACTATGTGTAACAGCAATATTAATTTCCTCCCGTGGGTATTACCTTTTAGATTGTTTTTTGTGATTCTCATGATAGTTTTCTTGCCTGCATTCAGAGTTACAGGATCCAAGCTCTTATAGCATATGATAGTGACAAAACAGAGGGGAAATAAGATTCTCTAAGATTAAATAAAGATCTTTTTTGGTTTTTCAGGAGATCCAACTGTGGGGAAGAGTGCCTTAGCCCAGATGTTCCGCAATGATGGGTCTCACTTTCAGAAGAACTACACGCTTGTAAGCATACAACAGGCTCAAACTGCTCTCCAACATTTTTCTAAGTTGCATGAGAAAACTAAGAGGGTCTAGAGCAAGATAAATATAATGTTTTTAACTTGAGGTATTCAAAGTGGAGTCTTATACATTCTTCTTTCACTTACACCCTATGTTCTGAAAAGAAACCATTTACTGTTCTGAAAGTCTTTGCATCATGTGGCTGCTGGTTTTGAAAGTCAGTGCAGAGTGTTTTAGTTACTTTTATAATTTTCTTGCTGAACAATATTTTCACAAGCTTTTGTGGTGTTAGAAAGCTTCCCTCTTTGGGGAGTGCTCTATGAAAAAGCATTGCTGAAGGAGAAAGCTTTTAATTCCAACTATTAAATGTGCATGTGGACAGTGCACTTGTCACTATGCAAACACGAAGATGTGCTGCATAGCCCCAAGATAATTATAATCTACAGAAACTGTTCCCAGATGAAGAGGATACAGTTTGCAGTCTTTCAGTGTGAGAATCAATGGTGATGACTAATCAGAAGCCGGATAAAAATAAAAGTAAATATAAGTAAAATAAAAAAAGGAAAATATGAATGTGGAGAAAAAAAACCCTAAAATATGTTTATTCATTGAAATGAAGATGGAAACTAGAAGTTAAGGATAGAAATAGAACAAACAAGCACGCTACAAAGCAGAATGAGATAAAAGATGGAAGAGGCACAAGTAATCTCAGTCCCATATGTTAGATGATCACCTGGTTGGTGCAAAACGTTCTAAAGCATACTTTAGAGCAGCAACGTGATAGTAGCGTAGCCCTGAAGATTTCAGCTACTACCCTTAATTGTATACAAACAGACCTCTGGATGTTCTTTGCCTTTTCCCCCCATCAGAGCAAATTTACATGGTTTTGACATGTGGGTGGCAGTCTGTTACCCAAGCCATGAGGAGTTCCCAGCAGTCTGTGTTTGATGGGATTGTAATGATCACAAGAATTGCCTCAATCCAACGCATAGTTGGTATGCCGTTGGACAGGCTCTTAAAAACTCTTCTGATGCTTGTTTTCCTGATTTTTCTTGACAGACAACGGGCATAGAACTGTTGGTGAAGGCTGTATCCATTCCAGAGACAAGTGATAGTGTGGTGAGTTTTTCTGTGACTTAAATTGGGTCAGAAAGAGACACCCAGCGCTCAAACCTTGTTTTGGTCTCATTCTGGTGGAAGATTGCTCTGCATGCTTGTAAGGCCATTAAGTTGCATTAAGGAAATGAGGCTGATCGTGCACAATTGCTGATACTCCAGGGCTAGTTTAATCTAAAGAGTGTAAGGGTACTCAGTTTTAGTTCGTGTTTCTTAGAAGTACAGAAGCTGGAACTTATCAGTTATTTTTCCTTAATGTCCTATACTCCCACTAGTGGAATGTGAACCACATGTATGATTTTGTATAAATACTGCAGATTAATGTGTGGCTTCACATTGTTTCCAGTAAGGATGGAAACCAGACTTGGGATCTTGGAGGTAACCCTTTTACTGGTTATACATGAAAAATAGCTATTCCTTTTCTCATACTGTTTGAACTGGAGGGTGACAGAGCCCTGGCACAGGCTGCCCAGAGAGGTTGTGGAGTCTCCTTCTCTGGAGACTTTCAAAACCCACCTGGACACGTTCCCGTGTGGCTGCCCTAGGGGATCCTGCTCTGGCAGGGGGGTTGGACTAGGTGATCTCTAGAGGTCCCTTCCAACTCCTAATATTCTGTGATTCTATGCTTCTCAGTCTGGGGAACTTGTCCCCTCTTAGAGACACCACATTGCTGTACTCAGCAAAATGTAGGAGTCACAACTTTCGGTATTTACTTTCAAAACCTTTCTCTACACTGCATTTTTCCTGGCAAGAGCCTTCTTTCTGCTTCCGCTTTCAGGAATTCTTCATTTTTGACTCTGCAGGAAAAGATCTATTTTCTGAAATGCTGGAGAAACTGGTAAGTCTTATGTAACAGTCCTCTTCTTCCAGAGAAGCGCTTTTGCTTTGAAGATCTGAACTCCCCAGTCTGGCAAATGTAGCAAACTTTGTCTTTAGTGTAAATGGGAGCAATTACTTCAGTTGCCAGTGCATCCTGTTCTACCTCCCTAAAACTTGTAAAAGCATGAGAAGAAATACTTTAGGGAGGAAGGAAGGCGTTCCATTTTCTTACAAAAGAAATAGGGATGTTTAACTGAGAATGGCTGTGCTGTTGGTTAAAGTTATTTTTATTTCTTAGAAAAACGTCTGTTTTGCTGCTACTCCGAATTTTTATTGTGTGGCTTTTTATTGTGTTATTGTGATGTGTTTGATCCCACAGGATTCGTTCTTGTCCTTGAGGATAATACTGCCCTTGATTTTTTTTCCTTCATATATTTATGTCCTTACATGTAGAGTTCTCCATTGTGTTATCTCATTTTGAGATGTGGGATCAATTAATTGATGTGAGGTTTCGTAAGATGGCTAAGTCAACCTAACAGTTCATTGCCCATTGAGAGGCAGTTATGCTTTTGCCCTTGCACTACGTCTGGTTTGCAAGGAACTCCTCTAGAAGCTGGCTTAGCTTCTCATACTGGAAGAAAACCTTTCGGCTTTTTTTCTCGAGGATTAATTTTGTGCTGATTCAGTGTGAAGAATCAGCTTCCCCAGGGATCAGATGAGTGCCAGAGCCGATACAAGTAAAAGAGCAGGACCATGCAGACAGGAATGGGGGAAGAGAGCAAGACCACATCTCCCAGTGCCAGCTATCCATTTAGCCGGCTCAACTGTGATGTGATACCTCAGCCAGGGTGTAGCATTCCTATACGTCAAGCTTTTTAATTTTGCCTTAGCACCTGCATGTGCCATGTTTACAGACTGGCTGTTGTTGACCCCATCGGTTTCATTAGAGCTGACAGTGTTCCCTTCTTGCTGTGCAGTGGGAGCAACCCAACGTCCTGTGCCTTGTGTATGACGTCACTAATGAGCAATCTTTCAACAACTGTGCCAAGTGGCTGGAAAAGCTGAGGGCTCAAGCAGTTGGAGTGCACGTCCCAGGTAAGTAATGGGTGACATTCTTGCTATCTGCTCCCCTCTTATATGACAGCTGTCGTTCCCATTGAGATGTGGCATAAAGCATTTATTTTAAGCCAGGTTCATGCATGGCTTCCTCCGACTTGCTTTTATCACAAAGCATGTAAGGCATGAGTGTGTTCCTTTGTGGAACCTTTTCTAGGTAGTTGTAGACTGTTTTCCACACCTCCAACTTTTTAGCTACTTCTACAAGTGTTCTAGCATTTATTGTTATCTGTGTTGTTATATTTCCTTAGCTTCTTATTTTTTCTTTTTTTTTTTCCTCTAGGTGTCTTAGTGGGGAATAAAACAGATCTGGTTGATCGAAGAGTTGTAGAACAGAAACAAGCACAGGAGTGGGCTGAAAAACATGGCCTGGACTACTGTGAGATGTCAGTGGTGAGTATCTGCTCCTTTCACCGTCTGTGGAAGTGGGTGTTTGTAAAGTTATCTTCTTTTTCACGTAAAGAAAGGTAATTGAGGGCTCTCTTCTACTTGTTTGTCATCTAACTCACCCTCAGTTTTAATCTGTCTTTTGTGAAGCAGTTAGAGCAGAACTAGTCAAATGCTTATTCCATCTGTCATTCACGACTTTCTTGTTTCTTTACAGAAGGAGATGAAAAATTTTGAGGCCCCTTTCCACATCCTGGCAAAATCATTCCACCAACTGTACAAAGAGAAACTGGAAACTTTTCACTCACTATCTTGAGGGCCGTGACTGGCATGACTTACTTTATCCTCTAAGCTTCTTGTAGTGCCCAGAATCCTTGCAGGATGAAATACAGAGAGAAGAAAAAAGATGAGCTGTTTGCTTCTTCATGGTCATCTTCTGGTAATTCGAAATAAACTTAGAAATAAGCAAGTGGAAAGACACTCTCCTGGAGTTGCTATCTCAGCATTCCTTTCATGTCCTCTAGCTTGGTTCTCTGCTTGCTGAAAGCCTGCTAGGTTGGAGGAGGCGGGGAGTAGAAGGGGAGGGCAGAATGGAAATTGCCAGCTCTTTGCTTTGATACTGTCTTGTCTCTTGTCTGAACAGACTTCCTGCTGCTGCAAGCAAGGATTTAGAGGTTTGGAGAAGGAGAGAGGAAGCTGACAGGATGTTTTTCAACTTAAGCAACCCAACCCTGATACATGTGTTGCAGGGCAGGACTGATTTGGCCCTGCTGCTTGAAAAACGTTTTCAATAGGAGCCCTGTGCACTAAAATCAGCGCATGGAGGCCGAGGTGTGTGGGGACCCAGCAGGATTTAGGTGTGTTTCTGGGAGAGCCCAGAGTTTGAGGCCTGGTTTAACAGTGTTACCCTTGTCAGTCGTAGGACTGATACGCTGATGACTAATACGTAATTCTGGCTTCTAGAATCTGGTTCTGTTCTTCGACGCGCCTCACTTTCACTGCTTGGCAGGAGCAGTCTTGCATCCCTACCGCTGTCATTTGGTAACGCAGTGCCCTCTGCTGGTCCTAGGTCACAAGATTTCTCAAGAAGCTAACTCTTGCAGCGAGCAGGGCTTCCTACAGGCCTATCCGAACTGGCTTATCTGCAAAATTGAGTCAGATAGCAGGAATACCTCTTTTGTTTTAAAGATGAGTCCAGATTTTAAAACAAATTATATTTTAGTCTTTGTAGTCTTATGTGCATTTGTGTAATTTTTCTTTTTGTCAGTTGAACTCAGCAGTACCATGTTCTCATTAGGTTCAGTTCTTAGTCCCTTACTAGAATCAGAGGCCTCTTTGTTGTTAAACTTTTCCTAGCTGTCCTTGAATTTCAGAGTAAAGACCACGATTCTGGTGTTGCTGATGGAAACAGGGCTAAGGAAATGAAAGACAGGCTGGCTAAGTTACTCTGACTTGGCCATGTCTGGCTAGAAGTTTCAAATCAGAAGGCATAAAAGCCTGGAGAGAACTGCTCTTTTGTGTGGAGTGCTGCTGTTGCATGTAAGAGTCTATTTGCCAATGTAGGATGTGAAAGCATCCATGGTAAGGTGCTGCCTTGTAATTGAGCCTAACGCTGAGAAGTTCAAAACTGTAACCTTTCTCTTCTCTCAGGTAATGTTAGCCCCCCTTGGGCAAGGGAAGCTGAATTTTGGAGAGAGTAAGCCCTGAGTGAGTGTGCGGTCAGGCTTTTCAGGAATCTGTGTTTCCAGACTTCTTATACGTTGTTTTTATAACCATTTTTATGCCCAGTGCTAGGAAGAGTACATTGTATTGAACGTAAGAAATATGGCTGCAGATGTTGTGGCAGAGTTTATGAAGCACTTCAAGAATCTGGAGAAGCAGCTGGGCTCATTTCACCAGCAACAGCGTGTGGATGCTGGGAATTAGCTTGGGAGTGCGAATACCAGCTAAAGAGGTTAAGTAGGAGCCCAGCCCACAGGAGATGAAAATTAATAGGTTCTTTTGCTAGAAGCCACCTCAAAAAATGACAGAACCAGCTGGAAAAGCTCTTATTTCCTCTAAAGAAGGAAGGACTCCTCTGTGGGCTTGGGGTAACTAGAAGACTTGCATGAGTTTGAATTGGTTTAGCATTACCAGCATTTGTATCTTAAGTGGGTTGTCTTGTTAATCCTGCGCGGTGTCTCTTGATGTGCATGGGCTGAGTCGTCTTGCCTGCAGGTGCTAGTACCTCTGACTATTAAGAATAAAAGTTATTTTGGATGCTGTGCTGATCTAGTTAGAGAGCTGAAGAAGGCTTGTTTTGATTTGATAGCTCATTTCTCTCTGATCCTATTGATGAGGTGATTACAACACAAGACAGATATTTTTTCATACTGAAAATAGCATGCCAGGTGTGTATGTCACCTGCGATGTAGTATGTAGGGAGGATCAACACCTTGGGAATGGATGATAAAATGAATCCTACGTGATCTTTAACCAGGGAGTTCAAGCTCTCTGCACCAGAAGGACCTCCCATGACTTCAAATGAACAGTCTAAATGCACCAGCAAGATCAAGATTGGTGAACACTGTTTCATTAAATGAATGCAAAAGCTGGAGGATCTCATTAAAGAAGTGCTTGCAGTGGTGATTTGTGACTTACAGTGAAGCAGCTTTTGAGAGGTTAGTGAAGAAAAATACATCCCATGCAGGGAAGGATATATTGCCAGAGAGGGGAAATGTATGATCTAATTAGCTAGCAGTAGGGATTCACCCACTGCCCCTTTCCCTGTTTCCACGGGCCATGACTAGAATTGGAAATGAGGTTGTGTCTAAAGCATGTTGCCCAACTTGCTTTTTATGGGACTATTTCAAGCACTAACGTAGATACAATTTAATGTCCTTCACAATGCTATGTTTGACAATAACTATGCATTTAAAAAGCATAATGTATTGTCCTTCCTGGCTAACGCTGTATAATACCAGCATGATGCAGGCAATGCTCGTTGCTATTTTCCTAGCGTGTTTGTGACCTCGGTTGTAGAGGCAGGTAGTGGAGAGTGGGTGGAAGAAGCTCGGAGCCAGGTACGGGAAAAGAGCTTCTTGTCTGTGTGAAGGGGTTCAGGGAGTGAAGTAGGTGAGCTGGACAAACAGGATGAGTAAGAGTCTGTTGCCGTTATTAAGTTACTGTACTCAGTAGCTGTTGCGGTCCCATCTGTGGGCCAAGGATGCATGTTTGCTGCTTATAGCTTTAGAATCACTCTGAATTACAGACGCGGTAGAGAGCAGTGGGAGGAAGGTGGAAAGCCTGTCTGCTGACCAGGAAGCTTGTTGCCTTCTTACAGCTCCCGTACTTTGTCCAGCTGTGCCGTGTTGCAGGTGCTCGGCATGGGTGTTTACAACCCAGGAGACACCCAGCTAAACCAGAACTAAAATTTCAAAAGAAAGGGGAGGAAACAAACAGGCCTTTAACTGGTTTTCAGAGAGGTGTAGTCCTTTTTCATGCTTGCTTGTTTGGTTAAACAAAAATACTCTTTCCTACCTTGGAGTCCCTCCTTAAATTTCCTTTGGGCCTCACGGTTCTGCCTCACAGAATCACTGTTATACTTGTGCCCTGCTTTACTTAGCTTGATACATCACCAGCTGGGGTTTTTTGTCCTTCTAATTTCTGCATTATCTATTCCCAAGGCTGCAAGACGTTTCTTCTTAGAGAGATTAACAGATGAAAGAAAACAAAAGTGGAATTTTTAGTCAAATTGTCTTGGAAGAAAGAGCCGTAAGAAGCTGACTGACATTCAGAAATTTTACTGGAAATTCATTTGTGTAATGTTGTCATATTAAAGACACTTTAATGGTTTTGTTTTGTCTTGCCAGACATATTCTACTGTGGAGTAAAATGCAGAAAGATCAGGTTTTGTTGTGGGAGTTAACAGGAGTTTCAAAGTTGATCATACTGTGATAAGATCTGTTCAGTCTTAACAATGGAGTGGTCACTGCTGTTCATAATAAAGCATTAAATACACTGAAATGGGCCTGTCAGAACCGTTTCTTCTAGAGATTTGTTCATTTTAGAGACTTAAGAAAGGACATCTTTCAGAAAATCTGATAAATGACACCATTTGGACTAGGGTTATTTCTGATATAACTTCAGTGACTTAAAGGGCTGGATTTGGTCTTTTATGCCAATTGACTCCCCTGGGTAAGCTTCATTTCTTTACCCGCTATACGTTTTGGTCCGATCTGACCTGATAGCAAAAGACACATGATGTTGTTGGAAATGAAATACTGCCTTGGGGCAGAAGGATAAACTGTGTGGCCTCCTGAGGTCCTCCCAGCAATACTTTCTATAATTCTATTAAATTAAGTGGGGAAGAAATAGCGTGGAAAGCACAAAACAGGCTAAATCGTAAACTAGCAATTAAACTGGGAGCTGGGCTGGACTACAGCAGAAAATGTACAATCTATCCCAATTAAGAGCTGTATCTCAAGAGAAAACAGGAGCCTGACGCAGGTGCTGACAGCAGGGAAAACATTGCATTTCTCTTCTGTAGGCAGCAACTGCTTTCTGCTGGCGCTTACACAGATCCGTGGGGGTCCATACCCCACTCAAGAGTGTGCTCTGCTTTTAATAATTACTGGATCTATGATGTTCAGGTAGCAACTGCTTACAGTTGTTGTCTCATCTGCCTGTATCAAGTCAGCAGTGTGACAGCAGATTTTCTGCTAGTAGCAGGAAGACATTCCTGTTCTTGATACCTGCATGATGGGACCCTTCTCTCCCCAGGCATTTCCAGTCCTTGTTTGTCTATCTTGTATCCACTTCTCAGTGGAGAATATCCACCTCGGCTTGTTCTTAGCAAGTCATTTTTCCATCCTGCAGATGGCATGCTGTGGAAGCTGGGGCTAGGGGACTTCTAGGACCTTCTGCAGCAGAGGTAGAGTCTGAGCAGCAGCTCTCCAAGGGCCGTGTTGGCCCCTGCAATGTCTCTTCTTAGCCAAAGGGCACATCATCTCTCTGCTTCTCTCATCCTATTTCCTCCTCCTGCTGTCATCTTGCCTTGAGAACAATATCTTCTGTGCCAGTTGCCCTTGGCTCTGTTGACCCGGAACAACAATGCTCGGGGGAGGGAGAAAGGAGAGAGCTACTCAGTCTCTAGTCTTCTCAGGGTTCTTTAGCTGTTGTGACCCCCTGTTGAAGTCACCTGAGAGACGGGGATGTTGCTCAGTCTAGAGTGTAATTTCCTGGCAGGAGACCCCTGGCTGCGTCCTGGCAGCCTTGTCTTGGCTCTTCAGAGCTTGACGTAGTGTAACTTTCACAGACACTGGCTGTTCTCATTCTGACTTGGGAGTTTCGGTTTGGGTTTTTTTTTGTTGTTTGTTTTTGGTTAGTTTTTTTACTCCTTAGGGGGTCTTTCTTTTATACTTCTGTCACAGCTTCACATACTTCCTCCCCTAGAGCTATTTGTCAAGAGAAGCCTGGAATTGCTCTCTTTCTTGGTCTCT